CCAAACTATCATTGTGTAATTAATGTTAAATAATAATAATAATAATAATAATTTCAGCATCATATTACCTTTGGCCTAAGCCTTGTAATGAAGAACCTACAGATACTGTACTATTTACTAGGCCTATATAACATAATAATCGCCCAAGGGGAATATCTTTTGTGTTATTTCCCCTTAACGTCGTTTTTTTCATTGTTCTCTAATTCCTCCATTGTCTAAGTTCCTCTTAAGGTACAGGTAATAATAATAATAATTAATAATAATAATAATCATTTCAGCATTAATTACCTTGGCCTAAGGCAATTGTAATGAAGAACCTACAGATACATATATTTACTAGGCCTATAATAACTAGCCCAAGGGGAATATCTTTTGTGTTATTTCCCCTTTGTCTAAGTTCCCCTTAACGTACAGGTATAATAATAATAATTATTATTATTATTGGGCATTACATGTAATTAACTTGGTCTAGCATTGTAATCAAGAACCTGCCGATTACTATGCCTAATAACTAGCTCATTTTTACATTCATTTATTGCTCTGCCATTTTGGCAGGTCTTATGACATCCAGTAATTTAGAGCTGCCTATTCTCAGCTCTTCTCTTAATTTGAAAATAACTGTCATTCTGTTTCATTTGATCAGTGGTGAAGAAAAACGCGCTTTTCCTTACTCTTTGTGCTTTTCCCAGAAAGCGTTTTTAGTAGGCCTACTTGTAGGCCTAGGTAATTATGCAAAACCCAGGCCTAACTAAAAAATTAAAATTGTCATAGTATGTAACTCAAGTTAAAATAACACTTTTCATTACTCGTGCAGCTTAATCAAATATTATATGTCATTTTAAACGACCCATTGGTATTATAACATGGTAACATCGATGTATTTTTTAAAATTAGACAGCGACGTTCTCTCAGAAGTTGTTCTGTAGACGTTTATCTGTTGATGACCTTTTGACCTCCTGAATTCTGCAATGAGATTTTCGAGTCGATTCAGCCGAGACGGCCCGAGTGGAGTTTCATGTAAATGTTTCGTACGGAAAAAAAAATCGCGACCAGGACACTGCTCTAGTCCCGCAGCAGGTGAGTTCCCACGCAGCCTTATCCAGCTGACGGTAAAGTTAGTAGGTTTCTAGCCTAGAATTGTCATGCCATGGCGACTTTGTCACATTAATTTTTTTTTTTCTTAATATGCCTGGCCCCTAGTAGTAGGCCTACTAATAATACTATAAGGCCAAGTTATAGGCCTGGTCCTATGAAAAACTGTCTAGAGACTAGGCCTAAATGTCTAAAAACTGCACTGTCTTAAAATAAAATAAAGGTGATGTGCTATAACACTACAGTATATCATCAGAGCCAACACCAATTCCTGTAACAATAAGATTATTATTGATATACTGTAGGCCTAGAAGCTAGGCTACACAACAATAACGCCCCATTAAATAATAATATGGTGCATATGTTATTCCAAACCTAACTTTCAGCTGTTGTTGAAATGTGGAATTCAAATAAAATATATAACAGTATATATATTTTTTTGTAGGACAAGATATGTGATACGCCGAAACATAACACTCTGGCCACATAGATATTTGCCAGTCGCCATAATGAGACAAACATACCACAACATTTGCCATGAGTACAACCACCCAACATTGGCATCTACGAAAGAAGGTGGTACAAAGCATACAAGCACCCAAGACGTCAGCAAGAAACACTCTGGTTGTTTGCTGAAACTTGTAATGAAAGCTACACAAAATTTAAGGTGGGCAAAAGAAAATTAAGTGAATATCTCATCACTGTTCAGCCAGACTACATGAAACAAATATATTGGAATGGTAAAAAAATATCAGCATGGTGTGTCAGTTTTATTAAGAGCAACAATAATACATTACACCCTAGCAGCTGTCTCTTATACCCATCT